TCGGCGAGTCTGGGCGTATACACCAATCTCCCTGGAATCCTCCCTTGACACGCCGAGCATTCACTCAACTCAACGAGTTCCACCTGGCATGAGTTGTGGGGCCACCACGACTCAACTCGCCGAGTCTCAAAACAACTCGGCGAGTCCAGTTTGACTCAATCCACCGGTCCATTCTGACTCCCCCTTGACTCACTGAGTCCACCCTCCCCAACTCGGCGAGGCCACTCACTGTGTGGTCGGGCAACATTCATGCTACTCGTCGAGTCTGTTCTTCGGACTCGGCGAGTCCGTGCCATGCACTGACTCAATCTTGCTCTAAAGGTCAGATCCAATCCATTAATCCATAGATCCAGTCCCTCCAAGCTCATTTAGCACGTAAAGTTACAATCTTGATGCACATACAACCTCTATATGACCATATATGATGTTTTAGACTCATTTACTACAACACAAGGTCATGGACTCCATTGTCATACATAAAGCTTGATGAGTGAGGCTCTCTGGACCTCTATGGGTCCAGATCCATAACCTCAACTCAAGGAGGGAACCAATGGGCACCAAATCATCCCATAAATGACCATCATAAGCCCTAAATTGCATAATGCTTCACCAAACAGAAAATAGTCCGAGATCATACCTCTAGAGTGATGATCTAAGCTCCAAATCCACGAAATAGCAACCTCCTTTGCTTCCTCTTGCCTAGAGTCTCCTTCTTCTTGCTAAATAACACACACAAGGTCAAGAAATGCTCCTTTCTCTTCACAAATCGCTCAAGAACCCAAGGGTCTCTCACTGAGGGTTGGGTGAGCACAAATGACGGCCATAAGGCCCCTTAAATAGGCCTCAAACCCGGAAATTTAGGGTTTCATTACACAGCGCAGACTCGCCGAGTCCATATCCTGGACTCGCCGAGTCCAGGCGCGCTCCTTTGCCCAAATCTGCATCCCTACTCGGCGAGTCTGAGCTCCAACTCGCCGAGTCCCCCTCACAATTCAACGAAATTAAATTTACAAGATACCTGGTAAAATCCGGATGTTATAGATTGCGTAAAAGTTAACAATTAGTTTATAACCCTAAGTTGAATCGTTTCCAAAATCGTTGATATCTTACATCTCAAATTATCAATTTTGTTTGTTGACTTATTCTGATTTCTCCATCTCACGAGTCACGAATCATGATTATCAGACAATCGGACATCCATTCATCGACTATCGCCGGCCGAATCGTACCATATCATCGGTGTTTCTCCAATCTCCAGTCCTTTAGCTTCTCATCGTCGCTCGTCACTCTCATGCCTTGTTTCTCTTTCTAAAGTGAAATCGAAGCTGCACAAAGCACAGTTATACTCACTGATTCGTCACTGTCTCTCATTCGGTCACACAACAGTACAACGCAACCATAGCTTCATTTGAGTTTACGGATTCTTACAAAAACATCGTATATTCTTTTCCTTTGTGATTTATTTTTTTTATTTTTTTGCTTCCTTTGATCACGGTCTCTCCTACGACTTTTTGTTTCATTTTTCTACTTTTAAGTTGGGTTATTTTCTTGTATCAATGTAGTGTTAATCATGACACACGGTAGCTATGAAACAGAAAATGGTGTTGCTATTAAGACACCCTATCAATATTTTTATCAAAAGTCAACATATACTAAACTATTTATAATCTACTTTTTCGAAAAACAATGCAATTTCAACCAATAAAACAACCTTAAAAATCAAATAGGATGTCTAAAAGGAAAAATAAGGTGTCTTTTTAGCCAACCTCAACAGAAAATCATGTATAAGCTTTAAGCACGTAGTGTTAAGACGGTAGGAAATTGCACTGTCAAAAAATGTTAAAAAAACAACATGCTACCATGGTGTTAAAATTTAACCAAGGTCAATAAAACAAAGGTAAACCAAATTCAATATCCCAATCCCAAATCCCAAATTGGAGAAAAATCAGGAGGCATCATCGATAGATAGCAGCCTGTATCAACATTTGAGACCAAATATATACCCATTAACAGCTCGCCTAAGTTTTATGCCCCTCATAAGTTAACTAATGCCTTACATGCTGGCTACGTTGGATTTTGAATAAATATGCAGCCAAACATGATTTCAAGTTGAGTTTTATAGGCTTTTGTTTCTAGTTGAATCAAACTGGAAGACAAAGCCCCTAAATATGTTTGTAACTCTTTTGGTTAGATGCTACAACTTCACTTAAATATGCTTGTCAGTGGGTTAACTATGGATGGATATGAAAATCTTGTTTTTGGTTTGATTTGGAGTTGAATATTCGTATGTATATGCAATTTTTTAGGCATGGTTGATTGTTATGTCTTGGTTTTAATTCACAAATGTAGCTCATTTGTTTGTTACCTTTATCTAATTCTTGTTTTTTTCTTTTAGATGGATGGTAATACCAATGATGATACTAGGGATGATTTGAATGATGATTGTGTGGAGGTAAATAAGGAGGGAGAAGACAATCAGAAAACCAAAGGAAAACGAAAGAGGGAGAATACACAAACCTCACCGATATGGGATGTATTCGAGTAATTAAAAGGTGTTGTCATAGAAGATAGAATTAGGAAAGAAGAATGCAAATGGTGTGATGATGTGAAGAACTATGACATTAGATATGGAACCGGGAACTTAGAACGACATGTAAATCAATTTTATAGGCCAGATAAACTTTTGTACGTCAAATGTTATTGGGGATTGTGTGAAGTTGCAATTGAATGTTAGGAAAACACTTATTAAAGATGGTCAATTTTTTCATACACGATGCTGTGCTCACATTCTAAATTTGATAGTTCCACATGGTTGAAAGAGATTGATGGTTGTGTTTCTAAAGTAAGAGAAAGTGTGAAGTATGTCAAAGCATCTCAAGCTCGCAAAAGACAATTTGTGGATTGTGTGAAGTTAGTTAGTTTCGATCCAAAATGGGGGTTAAGACAAGATGTTCCAACAAGGTGGAATTCTACATATCTCATGCTTCGAAGTGCACTTTACTTTCGTACGATATTTACTCATTTGGAAGCAAGTGATTCAAATTATAGATTTTATCTAACTAATGGCGAGTGGGATAGGATTGAAGTCCTTAACAAATTTTTATGTAGTTTCTATGACATTACTTGTGTATTTTCTAGGTCAAAATATCCTACATCTAACTTGTAAGCCATATGTAGATCGTCTAATTGGTTATACCAACATCTTGGTATAAGTCTAGTGTACAAAATAAGGACTATTAACTAATAAGGTCGTATTGTAACACGTAACAAAAGCAAGAACAAATAATTGTTCAAACATATATGATATAACTGTTATTAATCTAAAAGTGTTAGTAAAAGGCTTAAAAAGATCTCTTTATATATAGAGAAAGCTAAACTTGGTACGGGCGTCAAATTTTGAAAAACAAAAATTGACAATAAATTCATGTAATTAACTTTGTAAATAAATGGAAAAAGGGAAACTAAGATAAACATATCTTCTCCCATTAAAACAAAATTCAGTAAAATAGGAAAATGAGCCAAATTTTGGGGAAATTCTAAATTAAGGGCCTAATCGGATTAGGGACGGACGCAGGAATAAATATAGTAGATGTTGCCGGGATGAATAGGCGTTGCCGATATATGAAAAATAGTTTAAAAAAAAAATCAAAAAATTGAAAATTTTTACACTGCGTTCAGAAAAGTTAGAGGTTGCCGGTGCCACACCGGGGACCTCATAAAACCGTCCCTGAATCGGATGATTTCTCGAAGAGAAGTGGGGAAAGTCACGTTCATTTAATGTTAGACCTCTTTTGGCCTTGTTTGTCCTCATATTTCTTTATGTAGGCTTCTTCCAAGTATTCATTCTACTTTGAATCATATTAACTAATAGATAGGGTATTCACCTAGTCTAGTTCATACCAAAGGGTTTCTAGTCCAATGGTATTCGGTGTTGCCCTCCCTTATTGAAGTCGAGAGTTCAAGTCCAGTGAGGGACATCGATGGAAAATTAGAAATAGTGTAGGAGTAGCCGTTCCAAAAAAAAAAAAAAAAAAAAAAAAAAAAACTAGCCTAGTTCATGATGCGGGGTATCAGGCAAACAATCCATACAAACAATTGGACGATAAATTTAGCAATAAGAAATGCATGTCATGCCATAATAAGTGTCAAAATTCACAATTCAAAATTCATCATTCATTATTCAAGGTTCACTATTCACACTTTGTAAACTATTCATATAGATGTCTATGTCTATATGTGATTGCATTCATAAGCCACATCCATGTCAAACATGCCACATATGAGAGACCCATGTCAAACATGAAATATAAGAGAGAATCCAAAAGAGAAAAGTTGATCCCTAGTAGAAGAGTTTTCCCACATATGTTTTATGTTTCTATAAACAAATCAAAAGCCTTAACGGTTAACATACCTTTTTCATAAGAATTTTTTCAAAGCTCGTTAACCAAAAAGCCTTAACATACATTTTTCATAAGAATGTTTTTTCATAAATCTTACGAATCTTACTAATAGTTTTTTTTTTTTTTTCGTTCGAAAATAAATGATATAACATTATTGAATTATGAAATAACTTTAATTAGATATGATTGGTGAAATTTACAAACAAATCAAAAACAATTGCAATAACTTATCTTTTTTTTAATTTTACCGATGTTAATTTGATCCATGGGTAGGGAGATGATTTGCTTTTCGTGATGAACTATGATGCGTCCAAGATATTTAACGAGCATTATATCGGTTAAACTACGAAGGTGCAGGGTTAATTTGATCCAAAAACTTCCCTAATTTGAACGTGTTTGTGGCCGAGTTTCGCATACCATTCTGAAATCCACCGTCTCAATACTTCTTTCTCACATCAACGTGGCAGCTTTTAGTAATTCTAAATCAATAAATCTTTACATCGATCCAACAAACTCTCTTAAATACTAAAAGAATTAACTACAACCTCTTCAAACAAATTTCTTCTCCTTACTTCCTTAGCATTCATCCCCGGCGACGTAATGGTAAACCAACACTGGGAGCCGTCGGCCGGAGACGATCAAACTGATGAACCGAAAGACCCTTATTACATTGCATACATAATCCACTTTCTTCTCGGCGCAGGGTATCTGGTTCCATGGAATTCTTTCATCACCGCCGTCGACTACTTTCAGTATCTTTATCCGGCGAAGCACATCAGCAAGGTGTTCTCTGTTGCGTATATGGTGGCGGCCATGACTGTCCTTTTTATTCTGACATGCTGGTCTAGCTTCTTGAAGATGAAGCTGCCGGCGTTAAAAACGAGAATGAATTTGGGTTATGCTTTGTTTGTTTTGGTTTTATTTGTGGCGCCGATCACTGACTGGGTCGATCATCGGGATGAGTTCGGAAGAGGTTCAAATTTCGCTTTTGTGGTTCTTGTTTCGATGGTGGCAGTAACTGGTTTTGCTGAAGGATTAACCGGTGGAAGCTTGGTCGGCGCCACCGGAAAATTGCCCGGAAGGTACATGCAGGCGCTCGTAGCTGGCAACGCTTCAGCGGTACGTATTATTAGTAAGTACACGCATTACTTAGTTAATATATTAAGCCGAATAATTCAAAATGCAGGGGGTTTTGGTATGCATGTTAAGGATCATAACCAAGGCTTCACTTCCTCGATCGAGAAAGGGACTTCGAACAAGCACACACATCTACTTCTTCACCAGCACACTCATCGAACTCCTGTGCATTATCTGCTTCAACCTACTCCACCGAATACCAACGATTCAACATTACATAACCAAAACTACCCAGACAAGCCACCTCGATGATCACCCACCCAAAACCGAGCTCCGACGACCGGAAACACTCCTGGTCTTCAAGAAACTCCGATGGCTAGCAGTGTCCATGGTAACAATCTACGTTGTGACCTTGTCGATTTTCCCAGGGTACTTGAGCGAGAACGTGAATTCAACTTTTTTTTGGTGATTGGTATCCTGTGTTGTTGATAACTGCTTTCAACATTGGTGACTTTTTGGGCAAGTGTTTAACGGCGCTTTATGTGCTAAAGAGAAGTAGATGGGTGGTATGGTGCAGTATAGGGAGGGTGGTGTTCTTTCCGCTCTTTATGGGTTGCATATTCGGACCCAACTGGTTGCGAAAAGAGGTTCCGGTGGTTCTTTTGACGTTGTTGTTGGGAGTTAGCAATGGGTACCTGACTAGTGTGCTTATGATCGTTGCTCCTAAAGTTGTTGCGGTTGAGGAATCGAACATTGCTGGAATCGTAATGAGTTTGTTTTTGGCAATTGGGTTGGTGATAGGTTCGGCTTTAGGTTGGCTGTGGAACATTCGAAGAAGATAGAAACCCTAATTTACTCTTCTAAATGTTCGTTTTGGTATAATGAAGAAAAGTAGATGAAAGGAATGCGATTGTCGTTCCATCTTAATGCAAAAAATAAACTGTTTGTTTGATTATTACCTGAAGAAATAATTGATAATTAGACAACTTCAATGATCAACATTGAAAAGATTGTTCCTATTTATTGGTATACTTTTTTAACAAATCACATTTGTGTTGTTTTTAAAGTTTTATAAATACTATTTATTAATATAAAATTCTATAAAATATATTTGTTTTTAGTTTGTATATATGAATAAATAACAAAAAGGTAAAGAAAGATTTCATATATATATATATATATATATATATATATATATATATATATATATATATATATATATATATATATAATATATATATATATAAAGAGAGAGAATATATATATATTTTTGGTTTATTTTTTTCAATTATTTTAAGGTGTTATCATCGAAAAAGAGAATCATGAAATTATATCAACTTTTATATATATTATATATATATATATATATATATATATATATATTATATATATATATATATATATATATATATATATATA